GTCAAATAGTCGGAATCCCAGTCGAGGGACGGATGCTCTTTTGAAGTGAGCAACCCATGTCTAGTAGGGGGACCCAACTCGTCCTTTTACTTGAGGGCGGGCCCTTGCCGGAACTTAATTGGTGGCTCGGGTGATTTTGTAGGCCACCATCTTGTCAGTGACAATTACTTTTACCAGAAGTGTATGAGTAGCGACTGATATTGTCGCAATACAGAGGTCCACTAGATCTGAGATCTTCTCCAGCTTTGCGTCTACCTGGGCGAACGATGCAGCAGAGTTTGTAAGGAGCTGTCGTACTTCCTAGTTTTTGGCTCAAAGTGCGAAACTAGGCGGAATACGGTATACGTGCTCAATATTTTGTGAGGGAAGCTCGAGCACTTTTGCTGCCGCATCTCGCACGCCAGCCGATGAGAGAGCGCGCCTGGCATGTTCTTATCAAAGTCGAAGAAACAAACGATCATCTTTGGGGGCAGTTTTCGATGCCTTTGCCGGAGGTTTCGCTGGTATGGAGGGTTTGTTGTGGACTCGAACGTCTTTCACTGGTGCCGCCGGCTTCTTGAGCCCAGTTCGAGTAAGAGTTGCCCAGGTAGGCTTGACCGGGGTTATCCTTGCCTAATTCTCTTTTTTGTAGCTGCTCTGGCTGCTTTTTTATCGTTTTTTCCACGGTCTTTCCGCCGTGATTCTGGTATTTGGTCGTGCGGGGAGGCTGGGAAGGACTGTTCCCGGTCCCGATAACATGAATTGAGCTACTGTAGCTCTGAGGTAGTGTTGTGCTGGCTCAGTTGAGTTGTTAGGAGACAGGGGAACGGAGGATGGGCTGCTGGATTAGGAAAGGGTGGAAAATACAGGCTGGTGCACAGACGCTGTTCATGTACTATACAATCTCTTCACCTGCCGAGTTTAGTGAATTAATCTATCCATATAATATCATACTTCACATCATCCATTAGATGATATTATCAATCGTCGGGATGCACATCTAGCATCACCTTCATAGATCACCATCGTCAGTAAGAGTTCACATTTGATACCTACTGACACCCATTTGGCCACAGTGATACGCACTCAGTGTCCATCGTGCCATCACCCAGCGTGAGCGCGCCATCTCCGCGACTCACCATTGCACATGAGCCCGTGTAATTCCACCGACGGACAGTAGAGACATAATTGCTATATACCTCACAACTCATAACCACAACAGGTAGACTTTCATGGAGTCTATAAATTGAACGCTCGATCCTTTAGATAGAGGTGAGAGCGCACTCCCACACCATTGATGGCAGCAGTGCATATTGTAAGGTTAAATGCGGTCTTGGCCGCCCGCTGTTCTTCGGCTTCAAGTATGGCTCGAAGCTCGGGAGGATAAGTCGCAGTGTTCTTGGAGCTACTATCGCTGCAAGAAGATTGATTATTTCCACTTGCTCCAGGAATGGTATTTTGAGGAGTTGTGGTGGACGCGACTTCGTCGGCCTTTTTTGCGTCAAAATTAGATGTCCGCTTCATGGCCGGCACAGCAATCTTCTTTGTAGTTATACTGACGGGGGCCTCTGAGGCCTGACCGTCTTCGGGCTCCTGTATATTCCACCGCGAACTCTCAAGACCCTCTCTGATATGTTGGCTGATGGCTGCATCACCCATCTCAACATCTGGGTTTGTGGAGTTCGAGTCTTCTTCAAAAGCTCTTTTCCCCTCGGCCATTTCCAATTCCATCTTTCGCCCTTCTATTGAGCTCAATGGTAATTTTTTGCGTTCCAAGTGCTTTTTCGGCTTGGTATTCATCCTGTCCATAATTCTTTTGTGGCGAATAAGCCTCGATGATTTGGCAGGCCCCGGTAACATGTCGGAGATCTGGGGTCTTGCTACTGTGAGAATTCGAATTATTGTTAATGTATGCAAATCAAAGGGTAAGGGAAATGATTATAGGGTATCTCATCAATTTTCTCAAAGTTCTTTAGGAATGGTGGCACCGGTCATATATCATAACTAGATGGCTGCATGCACATTTATTGATTAAAAATACAAATATTGGCCAAACTTATGTACATTCAGCCTCACAGTCTTGCAAACCTATTCCAAGAAAAACCCACTTCCTTCTCTGCATAATTTAATGAGAATGTCCTAAAATTAGTCGAATTTGCAAATAATTTATTTTCGTTAGGTTCACTGTCATTTTTTACGTATAGACCTATAGTTCCGGGAAAGTAGAATCAAGTTGCTTTTACTGGCTTATTTTTCTTTAATGTTAAAAACACTATGCTCGCCACAGTTCTGACACCTAGATATTTGAGAAAATTTGACTGAGATTGGCTTAGAGGGTTTATTTTTATCCCAAGTTTGTGAAGGACACTACGGATAGGCGTTGATTCTTCTTATTCTCGAAAGTTTTCTTGTGGCCATTAAGTAAAAATTGCTATATGCGTCTTTTTTTTGCATGAGATTTTACTTTCGTGTGCAGCATTCGAAGTATGACTCAATATAAGAGGGTAAATGAATGAATGAAAGATTATTCGTTTCGGGCACAAGCCTAGCACTCATGGAGCATGACACGGAGAAGACTAGCTTCTCCGACGACTATATACGATGATAACTCATTTTGATATTTGGACTACTGTTGTGGGTGCATTCGCTGATGCCACTCGAGACCTTGGTGCTAGAGACTTTCACTCTTACCTTAACCGTTAACATCCACCAAAAGGAAAACAGGAAGGACCTTTGACTACCCTAACATGTCTTTGTCATCTTGTATATAGCCGCCGCGTGAGTTATGGCTTCACAGTCTTCCATTTCTCGAGTGAGGTAGGCGTCCAAGCCTATAAGACTTTTATTCGGGGATATGACGACCAGATGGCGGACCAAAAGATCTTCCATAGTTGCCTGTTTTTGGAGTGTCGGTTGCACTATCCAAAATCGTTTCTTCTGCACCCATAGACACCCTTGAGTCCAAAACACTCGAATAATGTGCGTCCCAGCATGCCCATTTGTGACCTCTTCACTCGTTCGTCCCACGTCTCAGCTGCCTGTCCTCCCTCAAGATATGAGGCCCCATGAGGGCAACGGTCCTTCATGGACCAAGATCCGAGCTTTGTAGCTTATGACTTAATTTCCTCCTCGCGGTATACATAGCATCGTAATTTTGTAGTGGTAGATGGCCGATTTTTGATGAGGCAAATTCCTGATTGCAATTGGAGTAAGGCAATTATCGGTATTTGAGGCGAGGTGGTGTGGTAAGATTGAGGTAGAAGACTCGCATGAGAATAATAGGCCAAATATTTGTCGAGAAGTTGTCGATTTTAGATATGCTTGAGGTTGCTTTCGACCTCGATTCGGATGCGATTCTTTTTGGCTATCCCAGATATGCAGAGCATACTGAGCGATTACACCGGTACCACTGGAAGGTGAAGAAATTGTCTTTGTCAGCTCAGAGGGTAAATGTAAAATAGGTCACTCAATTTAATTTTAAAGCATTTATGCCTCATATTTCATTTATAAACACCACTGCGAAGTTATGGAAGCTTTTTCTTCACCCCAAGTGAGCCCTCATGTATGAACTTTCTAGGAAAATTTTAAAAAACTCCGAGGTATCCAGACATTACTTCATCATTCATTTACTTTCATCCACGCGAATCGTGGTATAAGGCTTCTGCTTCCCAAGTGGAGTGGGTACCAAAGCTTCTAAAATTATACCGGAAATCACCACTACATGCATATCGGGACAATGTAACTAGTTTCGGGAGATCTTGTTCATGAGTTCAAAATTTTAAAATGGGTGTAGAATTCCTACCGACAAGTGGTGGAGTGTTATGGTTTGACCGTTATTTGAGCTTAGGCGGATACCTAATCTTAATATAGAGAAATCTTAAGAAAAGGCTGAATGAAGGGGAGATGAAGCTGAACGAATCGGCACTATTGGTGAGGAGGCTAAAGCATTATTATAACTTAGTAACACCTGGAAATACGTGGCTTGATGGGAATTATTGTGCCGAAGGACAAGTCACTAGTCTGTGGATTCACGAGGATCAACTCTTATAAATACCTGTTAGTAGTAGCTAGAGTTCTCATTTCCTCTCATACATTTTAATACATCGATTTATTCATCACCAGCTCGGTTTCCTTCACATGGAGATTCGTGCCAGCGAATCTAATGCTCTCCAACAAGCAGCCATTGATGGGTCAGTGGAAATTGGACAGAAGATTCAAACGGTAAGTGAGCCTCTTTCCACATTATACCTCAAAGTTTCTGGTAGGGTAACCTTGAATAACCTAGAGTGGGCAATTAAGGTTTCTTAGTTATACATTTACTGAACGACTGGTTAATTATTAATGGATTGGCAGCGAGTAGATTCGGCAAACTTTTACCAGTTACTACCCTGTATCTTCCAAATTGTGCCAGTCTCAATTAGTTATCATATTGGACTGAAATAATCTTAAAATACAGAGTAACAATTAAGATACATTAGAGTTTGACATACAGCCTACCATGTGAGCATGCGTATAATTTTCATTTAGCATGGTAATTGCAGTATCCAAGTCTTTTAGTTACCAGTCTGAAATGATACAGGTACGTGAGCTTAGTTTCTGTGATAATTACAGGCCATAGGCTGATTTTCTCGTATACACTTGGTTGTCCATGTATTTACAGCACTGATCCGTAACTATTTTTAAGTAACTTCGCGGGTTGAAAGGTGCCAAGACTACTCACATTTTGAACTGTTAAAATAGCCACAAATGCTCTGATACTTCTTGAGTACTCTTATTTCTGTGTTAAAGGCAGCCCAGCGGGATATTTCTTTTGAAAGACATTCTTACAGTGAAGAGCGGATGGAGTGCCGCATTTTGATAAATTTGAAAAAGGCACGAATATGAGGGCAATGAGGTATGGTCGCTTGCCCCAGATGTGAGCTATGAATCTTCCAAGATTATAAGTTCAGGCCCAGATAAAATAAAAACTTTCGTTGTGGAGTTGGCAACTGCCTTCATTACCGAATTCCTTGTTCACTGTGTTAACCATCTAGATCGGTTCCTCCATTCGTAGAATCCATGTGACTGATCTGCTCACGCTGCATTCTTGCCTCAATTTCTTTGAGCTGGCTTTCACGAGCCAATAATTCCTGTCTCTTCTCATTTATTTCTCGTTGAACTTTAACCTCAATCTCCCGAAGTTTCTCCTCTTCTCGTCGAAGTTGCTCTTCTTTCAACCTAACAGATTGAGAGGCTAAGTCTTCAGGATTCATAGAAGAATCCCTTTAATGTAATTAGTTAAAGGTTTTTATTCCAGATTAAAAACTCACGCTCCAGCTCCACCCTCCACACTCTTGCTAAGTTTCTCCGTTCGATAGTTTTCATATAAGAAATCGTGTGTTATCTCCTTTAGATCTGCCAGATGGCTGTGCAGAAGTGCACTCCGAATAGCAAGAAAGTCTGAATGCCTTGGATTGTCCACTTCGACGACTCCCCATGGATATTGTCGGGCTCTAACCTTACGGCCTCCTATATCAACAACCTCCTCTGATCCAACGATAGCAAATGGCATTAGTCCTCTCAGCTCGGCGTTTTCCTCAACGGTATCTTCGTCATCTTCTTCGATGTCATATGGAAAGTTATAAACCTGAATACGGTAATTTTCAACATCCTCCATCACAAGCTTTTTTGATTCAGCTAATTCGGCGGGGGTTAGGGAATCGGCTTTTCCGATGACCGGGATAACATTGACACGGGGTGAGAGCCGTTTCATTAACTCTATGTCGAGCTCACGGAGGCTAGACTCGTTGTTAGCAAAAAAAGATCTAACCTTGGAGTAAACGTACCCATGTCCCGTTGGAGTGATGAAGTAGAGTAGTGCATGCACGCGATTATCACGAAATCTTGGATTTCGCTTTATGCGTGATTCTTCGGCTAGAATATCATCGTACTGTCGCTCTAGATACCCAACAATTTCACTAAAACTAAAGGTTTCGGAGTTAACATGTTAGGGTGAATTTTGGACTTCTTTTCCTCACTAACCTGACCTCATTGTCAATCTGGTCTCCGAATCCGGGGGTGTCGACGATGGTAAGGGAGATTCTGGTTCCTTCTTCATCAAGTTCAAGCTCTTACCACTTGTGTCAGATATTTTTAAATAGGATAACCCCGGATAACAGGTTAAGCTTACCGACTGTGATAGGTTTTATTCTTACTCCCTCTTCTAAATGGGCGTTGGCTGCATCATCGGCATCTTTTCCGGACAAAACTTTTTTACCACAGAGGGTATTCACAAATGTTGTTCGGCCTGATTTTATGGTGTTAATCATCAATTTCTTGGCTTGGGTTAAGAGTGGCCCTACCAGTCCCGGAAGCACCGCAAACCATTAGACAAAACTGAATACCTTTTTTAACATTTTTCTTCCTGCGTATTTTGATCTTTAGATTAGAAAGTCAGTAAAAAAAGTACGTCCTGGCCAAGAATGTTTCAATCTCAGCCTCGATTGTCAACAAAGGTGTCTCGGAGGTCGGGAACTGATGACGTTGACTAAGATTGACGTACTGCATTTAACGGAGAGGACATTATTAAAACTTTACTGATTTTAGAGGTTGGAGACTGAGCTTTTACTAGTAAGTTGATCGAGCAACGAGATGAAGAGCAAATAGAATTGTTATTAGTGAGTTGAAAGGAAAGCGGTAGCAAGATTCATGAGTTAGGGGGAAAGTTGCAGGGATTAGCAGCTATCACCAAATAACCTTTGTGATTACTCAAAGCCTCATGATGCACGCGAATTCAGCACTTGAACACCGCATGAAACAGCCACACAAGTCTGTACACCATTAAAACAATTCATTTAATCAACAATTCCAACAAGCTGTTCCCCTCTGAAAATCTCATTCGACGACAACAACCAACTCACTGAATTCCATGATTTTTGTCTTCTAACCTACACTTATGTGTTGGTATTGAAGGGAGCTCACCTAAACCTCAGAAGACCTAACTGATTTCAGTGATTGCAAAATTAGCCTTCAATGTAATCATCATATTCAAATCTGATACATGAAAAGACTTCAATCATAATTTGAGAAACGCAATTCAAATTTTAGAGAAATATCAAAGACTTGACCAATATCTACAGCTCTTGAATACTCATCAGTTCTGTTGCTCTTGGTTATAAATAGTCATAAATGCAGGAAAGAAATGGTTTCCTTCACAAATTTGAGTAATTCAACAATCTCGCCTTGGGGAACAGTTTTGTCATATCAAAAGATCGCTCCCACTAGCTCTCAAATATATTACTCACAAGCATGAACGTGAGACCTGCCATCGATAGCACCACCTATCCTGCAGCTCTGTCAGTATCATTTAACCAAGATTCGAGTTGTTTCTCGGTTGGAATGGATTCTGGCTTTTCTAGTTCGTAATGACCCTCACGTTAGAATACTATAATTCTCAAACTCGATCTAGTTTTCAACTCAGACCCCTGTGAACTGCAGGTATCTAGAGGTAATAATTAATGTCGCACAGGCTCAATTTTTAATTAACGTTTCCAGATCTCAATGCAGGAATCCACTATGTTCAGATGTTAGGAAAGACAAACTTTATCGCATTGATTGGAAATGGAAAATCCTCTAGATTTCCCCAGAACAAAGTTGGTGTCTTTTCTGACGAGCGTGCCAGTGCTAACCAACGATAAGGTGATGATTTGGGATGATGCAAAACAGAAAATTGCCCTGCAAATACAGACCCCTGCTGACATCAGGAAAGTTTGCATATCAAAGTCATATATCTGTCTCATTTCACTTAATATTGTTGAGGTTCACAAATTTCAGCGTTTTCCCGAACTTTGGCAATCGTTTGAGACAAGTGACAACCCCCTCGGTTTGTGTTGCCTCGGTAATCAATTAGTGGCTTTTCCCGGAAGAACACCAGGCCAGATCCAACTGGTTGAGCTAACGACCGGCAATGTAAGCATCATACCGGCCCATGGTTCTGCGTTAAGGGCCCTGGAAATGAGCAAAGACGGTCGGATTTTGGCATCTGCAAGTCAGACTGTAAGATCGAAAGTTGGCCTGCCATCCAAAAATTAACCACAAACATAGGGAACTCTTATTCGCATATTTGCTACACATAACTGTGCTCGCATCACTGAACTAAGACGTGGAGTCGATAATGCCATTATTTTCTCGCTAGCTATTTCTCCTTCTAATAAGCATCTAGCGGCAACTTCTGATAAGGCAACCATTCACATATTTGACATTCCTAAGTTGAGCACCTCCATTTCAACAGGCCCAAGTAACCACCTAGAAGTCAATTCTGCCAGCAGCACATGCGAAGGAAAAGAAACTAATAACAGTCGAAAATGGGGAGTTCTAGGAAGAATGCCGCTTTTGCCAAGAGTATTTTCAGACATTTACTCCTTCGCCTCTGCTCACTTTGAAATCGGCGATGACCAGTTACATATGCCTTCAAATGTAGATTCGGGCCTTCAAGTGCCCAAGGGTGTCTTAGGATGGATTGATGATGAGGCTCTTATCGTTTTGAGTGCTGGTCTTGACAGTAGATGGGAGAAGTTTCTCATCGTCCAAAACGGGGATGGAACGAGGCATTGTGTACGAAAGGGGTGGAAAAAGTATCTCAATATTGGGTGAGAATTCTATAAATTCATTTGAAAGCAACAGCCTATACGTTTTACCTCAAGATCAGAGAGATAATAAGTCAATCAGAATCATAACATCGTCATAACCTAACCGATTGTACTTCAAGGAAAATTACCTACCTAAAGCTATAAATACAATGGAATAAAGCAATGAGTGGAAGCTTCTGTCAGAGATTCATATCTTAACAATAAAAGTCATCTTATGAACAGGCTCACTACCTCGGTAGACATATTTTATTCAAAAATCTCTTCATAACAAACTCTAACTCGCGCAAATATTTAGCGAGCTTCGGGCAATAAAGTCTACCAGTCAAATGACGAAAGAATTGGCTTTGTTCTACCCAACCTCACGCCTCTAAAATCTGTTAAAAGGGAAGACGAATTAGAGTGTCCTTTAGGTTAGGTGGGGAATTGAATCCCAAGAAAATTTTCGGTGACGCCTAGATTCGGGGGACCTTGTTAAAAACCTAATGCAAATACTGCAGGACTGAGCAATATTGTATGAGATACAAAGAAATAAAATAATATATCAACTTTAAACCCAGGAACTAAACCTAATGTGCAGGAGGGAACTAAGACGGTAAAGTACCATGGAGAATGAATGGTGGATTTTTCTTAACTCCAAATCAGCCCGCACCTGTGAATTTTTATTTTTAATTCATTTTATTGTCCTGTGTGAGTCTATGACTATGTAGGACATGCAAGTCCACTCGGCCTACAGGCCAAGAATAGCTATGCCAGTTGTATCCCCTCGTATGCCTCCCATACAGCTCCCCTCAAATAGTAACAGCCCTCACAAGTCCTCATTCTATGATACAATTAGATGAGCCCTCGGCCCTTCATTATCTCCCTCTCCAGCAAACGAAACGATGACCATTTGCGGGTGTATGGCAGCCGGGAAAAATCGCAAAAACCACTGGGTGTGGAGCTCTCCTAATACCTACATTAGGACTAAATCTGAAGACATAATGATCCTTCTGAAGCGTTCGGAGAGGCCAGCCAGCTGGGCGCTGTAAACTCATCTGTGAATACTCACTGGGAAACGTCTCAAAAATCCAGAGTTATCCAGATATACCTCCATCATCCACTAGCTTTTCTCCGCGCTTAATGTGGTCTAAGGCATCTCCTTCCCAGGCGGAGTGAGCACCCAGGCTACTCAAACTTTACCGGAAAACGCCACCAGGAGGCGGGCCACGGCACCTTCCGTCGTTTGCTTGTTTTTATAGTATCAATTGCTCTCTCACGATCGAAGTCTTGGCGCGCATAATCTTTTTCAATTTGTAAAACTCCTGGCCAAAATTCAAAGTCTCACACCCGTCGAGATTGTGTCTATCCTCTGCATCATCCTGTAAACTTGTCCCGACTTCTCTCACGCCCATCCCACAGAGCTATCTCCCAGATCTGTGCGCCACGCTTTGCTTCCTCCTGCGGGTATAAATATCGGCCTGGGTGGGTATTTGGTGACCAGCTGGGGCCAGAGAATAGTTGATAATGATTATTTGATTGGAATACATTTCGTATCAGACTTACACCCTACACCCAATAGGCGCGATACTGGTCTGTACTCCCTGGGGATACATTACAACACAAGCACATAGTTTGCTTGCCAAATCTATACCCAGAAATCAAGAATTATTTATTAATTTCAAGAAAAAAATGAGCTCTCTGCGCCTTTTGCCCTTCTTCGCGACCCTTTGTCCCGAAGAAAATTTTCTTCGCCAGGACCAAATCCTTCCGGTTTGGACTCTGCCTCTCACAACACTTATGGTTTCCCATTTAAATTTAAATCATTTTGTTGTTAGCTAGCTAAGACAATTCTCGTAACCCTTAGTCATTCTTAAGAACTGAAGAAAAATTTTCCACCGTATTCTATCAGAATCTCCATTCTCTAGGTAGTGGTTGGTGCTTCGAGTTCCTCCACTGCTGTAGAGCAATCCAGCATTACGCAAAATTCAAGTGTTATGTTATCCATGATGATTTGATTTGATTTGAATTTGAAATTTTTTCGTATCAGGCTTATGCCCTACACCCAATAGGTGTGATACGGGCTATGCTCCCTCGGGATACACTACAATCTAAATACATAGCTTGCTTGTCATATCTATACGCAAAATATAATTAATGAAATTTATTTCAAGCAAATTAAGCGCCCTGCGCCTTTCCTTCTTCCTCACAACTCTTTGTCCCGAAAATTTTCTATTTCGGCAGGACTTAATCCTCCCAGTGTGGTATCTGCCTCTCGTAACACTTAGTTACTGTTCTGAACTGGACAAATCTTTCCTAACTCTTTTCTGTCGGCATCTTCCGTCCTCTGGATGGTGGTTCGTGCTTCAAGTTTCTCCATTGCTGTAGAGCAATTCGGCATTCGGCAAAATGCCAAGGGAGTTTCTCTCTTCCGGACACGCATTCGCAGTTTTCAAATTCGTGGCCAAATCTTGCATGGTATTTTCTGAAATCGCCATGTCTCGTCCTTGCTGCGATAAGGCGGTGATGCGCCCACCTCGACAGTTCAAGCTCCGGTGGGCGTTTTCGTTTCATCTGGAGATCCAACTCTTCGTAGCAGCTTGGACTGTAGTCTAGCCATCAGGATTCCACTGCTTCTTCATATCTTTGCCTGCCAAAGCGAGTGAGGGCTGCAAAAGTGTACTTAGGTCTATCCCTCGTTTCCGAGGGAGATGTGACAGTTTCATCTAGTAGGTTCCTGAGGGCCTCCTTAGCCGGTCTGTCTGCATCTTCATTCCCCATGGTCCCAGCGCGGGTTGGTATCCATCGAATCTCAACTGATCTGGCTTGTCTGCCAGTCTTGTGAATATTTCCACTGCAGCCAGGGAAGATTTTGTTTGGACGGTTCTCAGAGCTCTCACAGCTATGGTGTTGTCGAGCAGTACCTTTATCGGGCAGTTTTCTGCTTTTACCAGGGCTCCTTCAAGGGCTTTTTGGGCCCGAAAGATTTCGGCATCGTTAACCTCCACACCAAGCAATGGACCAGAGTCACTCCCTGTAGGAATACTCTCACATACAGTACCCTAATCTGCCTGGAGTAAACTTAACCCTGAAACCGATCAGGAAGGAGCTTTGGATTAGTTGTGAATTAGTCATAGAAGGAAAGATGGTCAGAGCTGAGATGGAAAACTATTCTGGTGTGGAGTTCCTTTGGAGAGGAGTCAGTGGATGGAGGTTGTTGCGATATATATACTTAATATATTGTAAATGTGTCAGTGCGTAGCAGGGATAACACACTCTTGATGTATGAGGCTAGCCATGTTGGTCGCGTGGAAGCGAGATTGAGTGTGGTACTAATAGAAGACTTACTCCCGTTAGATTCTAGAGCCAGTTAATCTAAAACCCTATTGAACCTACCTTCTTGCTTCCCTTGCACATTAGTACTCTGTCGGTGATAATTACACAGTAGGGTGCTTCTTTTTAACAGGTTATGAAGTCCGGTTTACGCCGTAGGTCATAGGTTATTCAACTCACTCACTATCGGCGCACAATAGGACCGTGAAGTACGACAGGACTGTACTGAAAGCCGAAAAGCTGCACGAAAGGATTCGTGCTAGAATACCGTCTTACAATAGGAACGTAAACGGAATTTCTGAGCGTTCAACCTTGGCCGGGGGCCAATTTTATTTTACAATTCATCACTCGGCAACGTCGGGACTTCAACAAATACGACTCGAATTCACAAACTAACACAGACGATCCGACACAAATCGTCTAACGCAACACATCATGATGGAAGACGCCGGCCATTGGGGGGGAGAAAAACTCTCCAAGCTTAACCATGAAAATTGGTTCAGGCTAATGAAAGCAAACTTTGAATGCAAGGGAGTCACTCACGTTCTAGAAAAGACTCTGACCGAATACGCCCAAGTTGCTGCGCCAGACCCGTCAATTTCAAAGAGGGCCGATGTCGAGGAAGTGGCACAAAAATCACAGAGCAAAACCATCTTCTTGAACATAGAGAAGAAGTCAAAGTATTTGAAAGACGCTGGAATAATAAAGGTGTTGCTTCTAAAGGGGTTAGACAATGACGACCAAGCGCTTCTGGATGAGTATGAGACTCCGGCAGAACTTTGGAAGTATCTAAAGTCAAAGTACTCAAAGCCTAGTAAGCTTGCAGCCGCGCAGTACACCAAAGAGCTGAACAATTTCGAGTTCACATCTGGGCTTACAATAATGGATGCCTACAACAAACTTAAAGAGATCAGAAGAAAAATTGTCTCCGCCAAGCCATCAGCAAAAGGCCAGTACGATGACGAGGCTCTACTACTCATCCTCATCTCTGCTCTTCCAAAAGTTTACCAGTCGACGGTCGATTCTCTAAGCATCAACAATGAGCTTTCTGTCGATGAACAGCTGAAACATCTCGAGAACAAGGAAGAAAGGCTGAGATTTGCTCCCGACAATGAGCACGCTCATGCTGCACGGACTCGTACGACAAAGAGTCGTCGCCCAAAACAGAATCAGAACCAAGATTCCGACGTCGAGATGATTGATGCCATAGAGTGCTATCTCTGCTTTGGGAATCATCTCATCGTCAATTGTGAACACCTTGGGTGGGCACAAAACCAATTGAGAAAAGAAAAAAGAGAGAAAAAGAAGCTGTCTAGTTCTAGAAGGACTCATGTTGACTCAAAGAAGAAAAGCTCCAAAAAATCTCGCGGGTTTGTAGGTACAAATGTCGATGAATCATCATCATCCTCGGAAACATGCTCCTCTAGCTCATCAGATGAATCAGTCGTGGAGACAGCTGCCCTCACAAAAGAGCAAAAAAGAAATTCATGTAAGCGACCTTCAGAATGGCCAATTGACACTGGCGCATCATCACACATGACTGACCAACTCAAGCTTTTTAGAGGACCATTAGAAAAGCTCAAAAAGAAACGCCAAATCCAGGTAGGAGGAGGCATACTATGGTCAGAAGCTCGTGGGACTGTTAGAGTCGAGGCAAATGATGGATCTTTCTGCTATCTTAAGGATTGTTTGTTC